AAGCTCCTTGGCAGAACCAACAGAGCTGTACACGTTGTACAAGTCGTTACTAAGCCCGTTCAGGACATAGTTACGGCAAAGGTAGTCACCTTGCCCCCAAGCATCGTACGCAGCGCGTAGTTCTGCATTGGTCTCATTCTCAGAAATGACCGGAGGGTCGTCCTTCAGGTATTTCACCAAACCCAAAGTGGTCTGGTAAAAATGCATCTTTTGTTGCCACCTCTTAAAGTCAAGCCCGTTGAATTTTTCGGGCTTTTCAGCTGTAGGAACATGGACAACAGGTACATGATTGATCGGATGCTGAGAGCTGGAACCTGCTCCGGTGGATGCCATCAGTTCAGTAGGATGACTGATTATTCTTCTTGCGATTGTTGGTAACTTGGTGTCAAAATTACACGGGAATCCTACGAACTGATGTGTATTTTCAGTTCTTACAAATAATCTAAAAATAGAAAATTACAATTGAACAGAAAAATAAAATACAACTGAAAAACGGAAAGATTTTAGCCGAGGCGAGTAAAAACTCTTTCCGCAAGAAGAATACGCCCCGTGTGGCTGCTAACGGTTAAGGCGTAACTTCCCCAAAGATACAACGGCAAACGTCTCTAAATCTGTAGCACACCAGATTTACGAGCACCGGCGAACGGGAACGGAATCGAGAATTGAGCACTTAGAAATAAAAAGAATATTCTGAATCAAGTAAAAATATCACTTGTTTTCTCTCTTTTGATATTTTTATATTCAATATTTGGACATATAATTTTATTTCTTTCCTTTCTCTTTCTTTCTCTCTGTTTCTTTCTTCTTTTCTGGTCATTTTTTCATCTGGCCGAATGGCCTATTTATAGGGGGTGTTATACAGATCAAATGGCCAACTTGGCCAAACAAAATAATAAATTCTTTTGATTAAAAGATGAAGCATTTTGGTTTGTATATGTATATCCATATATTGGTTGTGGCAACTTTTTGCTTTAGACAAATAAGTTTATAAATAATGGTATTATAATTATAATCATAATGATAATGACCGTAATTTTTTGTTAATTCGGCCACACCATCATGTTGAGATATAATTTTTTAATCATAACATGTCATTTTTTACAAATTAATATAATATGATATTTAATAGCATAAATATATATTTTTTTGCTATTTTTTAAATATTTTTTATCCATTTTACAAAATATTTAATCTTAAAACTACCCCTAAATAAATAAATAAATAAAAAATAAGACAGAAGAAGTTTGGGCCTCACTTTTAGGTACTGAACAGACCTGGACCATTTTTTCATGGGATGATGGGTCAGACAACCTAATTAAAGCATAACAAGCTCGATATTACAAACTAAGCCTGATATCTGCTAAGAGGCCCATAAAAATAAGGCCAAGCCCAGTTCTAGCTCTTACAGAAATTTTCAAGTCATAACATGAAGAAAAACCAAACCTTGCTGAATTCAATTTAATTAACCTTTTTGATTTTATTAATATAAATAAATACTAGCAATCAATCATCAATTCATAATATACAATTTTTAATAAAATTTACTATGCATTCATTCACATATTTTGACAATAAAATGTTATTTATTACTTGTTCATCACATTATTTTTAATCTGTGACAATTCAACTTCTATTCATTCACAAATTCAAAATCTAATTTAAATTTTCCCGCAATCGTTTTTGTTAATCTTATTTGTTTATTTTATCAAATAAATCAAAGCAATAAAAAAAAAATTATTTTCACTCAAAAGAAATGAAAATGACCAAGAGCGCTTAGATGAGATGGTTTGGGTCTCTTCCAGCTTAACCAGTGGTCTCGTGTTCGAGCCCTGAGAATGCAGCAGTGTTAAAAACTCTTGAGGGAGAGCTTTGCCGCCCTTGTGGTCCTACCCGACTCGATTACGAATTAGTCGGTTCCCATGTGGATCCGGAAACCGGAAGGTCCCTCTACCAAAAATAAAAAAATTAAATGAAAATTTTTAAAAATTGTGAAAATAAAAAATGGAAAAATATCGCCACGTCAGCAGTCCCCATTTCGTTTCCCCCACTATAGAAATGAAACCCTAGATCCTTTCGTCTCGATTTCATTATACAAACACAGTGTACAAATCTATTACCATTTTTCCACCATATCCAATCGATCTCTCTGTGTTCGAAAAAATTCAAAACCCGCATATGTAACTGCAGAGTGTGGTGCTAGCGGGTTTTGGTCTTCTCTTTCCTTGATCTTGCGGCGAACATGTACAGAGATCGAGGAGGCGGCTCGTCCAAGGGCGGAGAGATGCTGGATCGGAAGCGAATCAACGACGCCTTGGACAAGCATTTGGAGAAGTCTTCACCTTCTACCTCCAGGAACAAGGGCTCAGCCGTCGCAGTACCTTCCACCTCCACCGCCGCCGGGAAGCAGATTGATTATCGGAACAATCGCTCAGCGTCGAATTTGCCTGCCAGCAAGAACAAGTCCGATGGTGGGTTGTTTCTGTTTTTGCTCTCGAAGTGTTCCGTGTTCGTATTTTCCTTTCTTTTTACCCTAAATCTTGACTCGTTTTTGTTGTTTTGTGAATCCCGTGAATCAGCTGATTAGTTTGCAATTTATAGATGTTATGTTTAATTGACTGAAAAAGTTTACTGTTAGGATTATTAGCTTCCGGAGTTTTTTTTTTCTTGGCTGCGTTGTTGTTTTGGGCATCTGAATATTGATTTTTGTCCGTAGTGATTGAGAACTTTTATGAGTTATTAAGCATGCTTATTTCTGCAGTCGTGACTATGGGAGAAAAATGGTGCATCTTGCCTGAAAGTTCTTAGCTGTTGATGTGCTAAGTTGAGTTTGCCATGGTGTTGAAGTAGCAGTTTGTTATTAAGGTTGCAGCTTTGTTTTGGTTTATGATTCTGGTGGAGCTTATTGAAACTATTAATTGAGAGGATTTTGAATTGGAGAAACGCCATTGTGAGATATAAACTGTTATGTTAATGGTGAAAGTTTTATGTAGTCATTTAAATGATTTTGATGAATTGGTAATCTTGTCATTGTCTAGAAATGGTGGCTTCAGGTCAAGCCAAAACTTGCGACCTTTCGACTATTGAAATTGCAACCTCTAATAAGTAATTGTATTTGGAAGTGTCAGATCGATTTAGTGTCTCAGATATGTTGAATCAAACTACAAAGCATTTGAAAATATGCGTGTTTCCCAAAACCTCGTAGTTAGAGGTGCTAAAAGATGCACGTGACAGTTTGCTCCGAAAAAGGTGTTCTCTATTTTTGGTGGGTTTTCTTTCTTTTTTTTTGTTTTTGTTTTTGTTTTTGTTTTTGGCATTAACTCACGGACGCTCAATAAATTATGAGCTATTTATGGCACTATTCGGCTTTGTACCGAACACTTTTTGTACTTGTCGGCTTGTTGCTGGTGACGTAAACATTAAAAAGGTGTTATTTGGCCTTTTATTTGGATAGCTTGCTCTCGTGCTGCGATTTAAAATTAGGTGCAATCATGTTTGTTAGCTTTTCGATAACATTTCGCAAGTAATTATTTAGTATATGCTCGCACCGATTACACGAATACAAGTACATGCACTTGCGCACAAGTATACATGCATGTCAATCTAACTTTTTATGGTTTTATGCTTATCTCTTCCCTTTCTATTTTCATACTGTACAGATGTCAGTTAATTAAACAAATGTCGAGTATACTTTATGCCATTCTGCAGATGTATCTGAAAGCAAAGTCGAAACATGTACCTTCTGTTTTTCTTCATTCTTTCTTTCTTTATTTCTTTGCATGAATCTGTGCAGATGTATCCTAAAGTAAATAAATTTTAAGATGCATATTGTATGCCATTTTGCAGATGAATCTGAAACAGACAGTGAAGAGTCTGATGTCAGTGGTTCTGATGGGGAGGATACATCTTGGATTTCATGGTTTTGCAACTTGCGAGGAAATGAATTCTTCTGTGAAGTTGATGATGATTATATCCAAGATGATTTTAATCTCTGTGGGTTGAGCAGTCAAGTTCCTTACTACGATTATGCACTTGATCTAATTCTGGATGTTGAGTCTTCTCATGGTAACCTTCTTGTATCCTACTTGATAAAAGTTCCATTCTCCACAGGTTGCTAGTCTTGTAAGATATTTCGTTATTCTAGTTATATATTTAAACCTAAAACCTGTAGATGGTATGTCAGTAATCATCTAATTGTTTTATCTTTTTATGACTGGAGTCTATTGAGTCAAAATCCATATACAGTCTATTAATTAAAATTTGGCCTTTAGTAATGAGCATTTGCTCACCGCGTTCACTTGTTCTGTTTCCACTTGAGAATCTTTCAATTCTGCTAGAAAGTACAATTGAACTATTAACCGTTTAAAGCACACCAATCTCAGAAAATATTATAGTTTACAGCTGAGTTGTGGAGATTGGAATGTCTTAAATCTAGTTTTAGGTAATGTAGAAGGCTGTATAGATGCCCATACAATAATTGGTTCGTACATTTACTCTAAGAATCATTTCATTTTAGTTCATAACAATTGTAGACAAGTGTTCCATAAGTAATTTTGTCCTATGGCCATGAAATGTCCTGATGTAATGTTTGAAGAAATGTCTACTCAGATATTCCACTGAAATATATATAGATTCAAAGTAAAGCATGATTGAGTTGATCATCCTTGTTTTGCTGGATACTGTCTGTCATTTGAATTTTATCATATGCTTTTATTTGTTAACTATTTGTTCAGTTGAATAATGTATTGATTCCATATGACTGTATTCATATTGTATTCTGGTCTTGTCACTTGTGAATTATTGTGATTCTCATGAGCAACCACGTGCTTTCTTTTTCTGATGATTAAAATGCCTTATGCTTTGGTTATTCATACCTGCAACACACATGTAGGTGATATGTTTACTGAGGAACAGAATGAATTAGTTGAATCAGCTGCCGAGATGCTCTATGGCCTTATTCATGTTCGGTACATTTTGACTACCAAGGGGCTGGCTGCAATGGTAAAATCACTAATGTTCTTAATTAAACCTTTGCCATTGGCTGCCTCATATTTTACATAGTTGTCACATTTTAACTTGTTGACCGTTCATAAAACCAGTTAGAGAAGTACAAAAACTATGATTTCGGAAGATGCCCCAGAGTTTACTGCTGTGGTCAGCCTTGCCTTCCTGTTGGGCAGTCTGACATCCCGCGTTCAAGTACCGTAAAAATATACTGCCCCAAGTGTGACGACATTTACTATCCTCGTTCCAAGTACCAAGGCAGTATCCTTGCATTCTGATTTTGGTTTTATGGTGTTAACTGTAGTCATTTGATGCATACTTTACCCTTCTTGTTACTTGAGCCCTCTTAACTCGTTAGTATATTGAATTTTGGATTAAGTCGTAGCCCTTGATAATTTTTTGTGGAGTCAATTATCTGTTTTGTGTTTGAAGCTGCATAAAATTTTAAGTTGTTTTTTAGCTGCAACACAAGTCATATTTGCAACCCTATGTGAATTGTTAATAATATCAATTTTGGTGCCACTTTTGAGGGATATGTTCATACAGACCGATTATTGTTGTCTCGTAATTATATTTCCTTTAAAAGACAATTTGTCCAGATCCGTTAGTTGAGATGGCCATTTTGTTTTGTATAATATTTTATCTGATGATTTTCTTAACTGGCGAAGACATCGATGGAGCATACTTTGGGACCACCTTCCCTCACCTGTTCTTGATGACTTATGGACACCTCAAGCCGCAGAAACCGACTCAAAGCTATGTTCCCAGAGTTTTCGGCTTCAAGCTCCACAAACCTTGACTGACGAGTTTTTTTTCCCATTCCGTTTATTGAGCTCACAAGTTCTCTTCAATCATATGGGTCTCTCAATAAACGAGACAGATACAAGTCATTGAGCTGCTATTCAGTATATGAACATTGCTTGAATTGATGATGAAGAATTTCTAGCTTATTTGTTTGGCGAATTTGCCATTTTATGTAAAAGCTGACTCTGTTTTCAGCATGATAAATGCTTGTGCTTTTTTTTTTTTTTTTTTTTTTT